TCAACCTGGGCTCACACATAATAAGACTGTTTCAAAACAAAACCAAAAAAGAGGTTTAGAGTTTCACCACTTTCTGGGATACATGTGATGACAGCTGCTATGTGTGGCTGCCCAGGCTGAGAGTGTGCAACTCCAGGGGGACTCCATTCACTAAGACCACAAAGGAGGAGCAGTGCTAGGAGAGTGTCACTCCTGATCAAAGCAGTGGGTACAGAAGGAATGGTTGCTACCTAGGCCAGAAAGTAGGGCATGCTAGAAAAGTCTGCAGGGAGCGCGTCGCCCAGAGACAGGCACCAGCAATTTGGGCATTAACATACACAAAGGCAGTCATCTCTAAGACCAGCTAGTGCCAAGAGGAAGAAAAGGGGGCATGGGAAATGCTCCTCCCAACAGTGGAGTGAAGACTGTCAGATTCGGATCAATTCAGTTAGAAAAGCAGCATTTTGCCAATACCTCAGTGAAAACTGGACCAGATGGACAGGATCAATAGCACTCAATCAGGGCAAAGGGGAGGGGCAATAAGCTTCAGAGAAGGAACAAGATACTTAGAAGCCTGGAAGTTTCCTTTTTCAAATTCCCTAGTAATGGAAGTTGTATATAAGGCAAACAAATCAGACAACCCAGCGATCAAAACTGACATCATCAGTAACAGGCAAATGGTCATCCATTCTGTGAGGTGTGCCCCAAGGAAGACAGTCCATCTGTAGTAACCCAATGTAAATCTACAACTAGAATCTGATAAGCAGATAGGGAGCCCAAACTGAGGCTACTACTCTAAACAATGACTTCCTTAAAAATGTTCACGCCACACAACACGAGGACAGCTGAAGACCCAGCAGCAAAGTGCACTGAGGGGCCTGCTGGTATGTATCCTCGGTGGAAAACAGGCAGCTCAGGACAAGCGGGAACATGCACTGCAGACTAAAGTATGGTGTGTCCTGAATTTGCCACTGGTACTGTGTCTAGTCGAGAGAGGGTATCCTTGTTATTAGGAAACACAGGGTGACATATTGGTGGAGGGTAGATATGAGGGTGCAACCTTGAAACAAAGTTTTAAAAAAGCAAAGCAAAACAACAAAAACAAAACCGATAATATACATTCATACAGACCAATGAAACAAAACCCTGCAGCCAGAACAAGTCTGAGGAGGCTGGTCTCAAGTGGCTTCAATGAACAGAAAATTGTTAAACTTGTAGTCAGCAGTCTCTAATGAGGACTCAAAAGCTCAGAAACAGGCTGTTGGAATCACTGGGGTGGTCTTCACCACTAACATCTATGGTGTGCTTAGTTAAGTGCTAAGCGCTCTGAAAGGTGTTTCGCACGCATAACCTCCGGCCTTCCTCCGGAGAAGGGTACTCTATTCCCAGTTGATAGATCAGGAAAGAAATCTGTCCAAAAGTAATACAGAGAGTAAGTGGCAGAAATCAAACAAGGTTGACTATAAAGCTGGCTATTGAAGTTGTTGATTATTTATTAAACTTAAGGAATGAACAATGACTCTCAACCTAGATGAAATGTGGACAAATTACTACTATATGCCCAGATAAGAGTTTCTGCTACTAATTACAATTAGAGCACAAATAAATAAGCAAAACAAATTTAGTTGCTACCTTTGGTTCCCACAGTGTACTTTATGCTGAGCTTTGTAATAAATCCATTCTTCAAAATGAAATATATGCCACTGCAAGCAGAGAAGGGTGATGTGTGCACACAGTCCTGGCTACTTGGTAGGCTGAGGCGGGAGGATGGCTTGGCCCAGGACTTTGAGACAACCCTGGGAAACAGTGAGACCTTGTCTGAAAAGAAGGAGTCTATAAATATGCCACTAAAACCTCTGAAGTGACTGAATCAAGATGAATAAATCTTATTATTACAATACAGACAAATCAGATCACTTCCTTGTTTACCTGTCAGCTTGAAGGGCTGGGGAAAAAAACCCAGAAAAATCACTAAAAATTATGTTTGTACTTTTATTTTTGCAGTGTTAGGGATCAAACTCAGGGCTGTACACATGCTAAGCATTCACTAAAGAAAAGCATTCCAGTCCTTCATCTGTAAACTCTGTCATACAAAAACAGGATCAATGGTATCTACTTGCACCCAAAGCTCCTACTCAAGTTTCTTGTTGAAGCAGTTCAAGGAAGACAGTTCAGAAAATTGAGATTGACACTCCTCACCAACCACCAATCCTACCCTGCCTAATGACAAATGATCTCACAAACCATCTGATCCCATTTCAAGTACCTCCTTTGATTTGTTTTCTCTCCTTTCATGTGGATTGGTGTGACCTTAGTGTCCATTTTTCATTTCAGTCTTGGCAGCTTAATTTTATTACAGATAGTAAGTATCATCACTTGCAACCTGAGGAATACATGAACCATCCTGTTACATGTGCCATTATATAGCACAAACAGAAAGTGGCTGAACATGCCATACTTTTCTTTCCAATAACAGATCGATGGCTGTTAACATAGCATATGGTCATCTGTTGTTGTTTGGGGGAATCTTATTTGACACATGCCCTTTCTCAACTTTGGTTGAATTTTTTTTATATATATTTTAAAATTTTATGTGTATAAGTGTTTTGTCTGTACCATGTGTGTGTGGAGTGCTTGTGGAGGCCAGAAGAGGGTGTCAGATACCCTGAAACTGGAGTTATGAATCGTGGCGAGCTGCCTTGTGGGTGCTGGGAACTGAACTCAGGTCCTATGCAAGAGCAGTCAGTGCTTTTAATCATTGACTACGTTCCAGCTTCTTGGTTTTATTTTTAACCATGGAGAAACCTTTAAAAGTCCTGATGCCCACCTTATGCCACCTTTTAGATCAATTAAACTAGAACCTATGCAGGCAGGACTCAGCATCCAGTTTTTTCAAAATTCCCTGTGCCATTCCATTCTTTGTGGCCAAGTCTGAGATCCCTAGATTGAACATTCATTATCACAAAGAAGTTTGCCATTTGTAGACTGATCAAAGGATGCCCGAGAGACTTTAAAAAACAGCCATATTTAGCCAGGCATGGTGGTGCACGCCTTTAATCCCAGCACTCAGGAGGCAGAGGCAGGCGGATCTCTGTGAGTTCAAGGCCAGCCTGGTCTACATAGTGAGTCCCAGGACAGCTGGGGCTACAGGGAGACTCTCACTCAAAAAGACCAGAAAAAAAAAAAAAGACTGAAAAAAAAACAAACCCCAAAACAGCCATATTTGTGAAGTGTACAGTCCAACAGCTCAGTGTAGGGAGGTATATATATAAAGAGGTGACTGAATGAATAGTATGTGTCAAATGAATGCGACATGCAGTATGTAGATCCAGAGCTGATCCATGACAGAAGAGGGTCTCTGCCCGCTCCCCATCCTGGGGCAGGCTGGGAAGCTGCAAGGCTGGGAGTCAGGATGAAAGGGGCCAATGGCAAAGTGTCCAGTGCGGTCAGGAAGCAGGGAGGTGACTGATCTAGCTCAGCAGATGTCCACACTTCAGAGTCAAAGATTGAAGGAACAGGCAAGAACTCTGCAGGCCTTCAACAAGGCAAGGATTCAGGGAGGAAGAGTTTCCAGCAGGATTTGAAGAAACCCAATGACAGCATTCCTCTGGGATGACTCAATTTGACAGAGCCAGTCACAATGGTTTAGGGAAAAAGTCTATAATTCTAGTCTACTGATAAGTGAACACAAACTAAGTAAAATCGTATATATAATGGTGCAAAATCTAGCAAATCACCTTTTCAGTTTTCCACAGTGAGAGAAACCAGAGTTTGAACCTGCCAAAGACAGAGTGGGCTTCGTTGTTGTGGGAACCTCTTGGAGGGGAATCTGGACGGCCTGGATGGCTTGTCAAACTCTCCTCCCTATGAGCATGGCTGCAGAGGCCTGGCTCCAAAAGCTCAGACATAGAACACCTTCTGTAGCTCCATGCTACTCACTTTTTATTCCCATAAAGGCCACTCAGAGGACTTGGCGGTATAATTCTAAAGGACAGAGCTTTAGGCCACAAAAAGTCTCTCAATACTTTTGCATTAGGAGGATGTTTTGGAAGTTCAGTGAGCAGCTGAACTAAGAGTCAAAGTGGACATCAAAGTGTCCGTTCATTCATTAAATACAGATTGAACAAACCATTTGCTACTGTTCTAGACAATGGACTACAGCAAGATTCCTTTTCCAAACAGCAACTTGCTGAGCATTGTAGACAGTCTATAAAAGCCAAAATGGCATCAATGTCTGCACAATTTATGGCTAGTTGGTTAAAATGTCCTGCTATAACTTTAAAGAAAGTTGAACAATATAGAAAAATTATCTTTCATATAAGAAACTATAAAACCCAGAGAGAGAGAGTGTATAATAACTGATTTTTAAAAGCTGATTTGTAAGCTACTACTGCTGAGAGTTTATTCAAGCCAGCAAATAGGTTCAGTTCTGTCCACAGAATTTGCTGGATACAAATGAGTGCAATGACATCTCTGAAGTGAATAGAATTCTGAGTGTGGTGACAGGTAGTTATTATCTCCCTTTAACTAGAGAAAGGGGTCACACCAGTACTATATTCTAAAGACTAATTGAAAAAGGCAACATGTCTGGTATCTGGACTTCCAAACAGGAACTTTTAAAACCAGGGTACAATGCTCTCTTGTGAAATGGCACCTTGCTGAGTTGCCATATCATAGCCATTCACAAAAGCCACACTCAAGTTGTGCCTGGGGTAACTCAGGGTACCAGCTCTTGGAGCACAGAGGTTGGCTACACATAGTGATTTAATTCCAAGACCAAAGAGAAGTTCTCAGTGTCAAAATGTCATCCTATAAATACCCAGCTTCATTAATTACAAATATCTGTGATGAAATTGACCCAAACTTTCACTGGTAAAATAATCACACAGAAGTGTTTGACTCTTTCAAGTCACTGTGCTCTCTAGTTTATAGACAATTCCTATTTCTTGCTTGGGGGGGAAAAAAAATCAGCTCTTAAGTCCTCTCTTCTTCGCCTGTATCCTCCTTGAGAGGGGTCTTACCTGCATAATGTACAGGAATCTCTATCTTTGGCCCGATGACATAGTGGCCTTCCTCCAGGCTATGGGCAGTAATGGTGGTCCACTGACGGCAGGAATGGATCAGAAGGTAGTCATTTTCCCGCAGCCCTTCCACGCATTCTCCTAGAAAACACAGTTTTATGTGAGGAAGCTGAGATTAACACCCGTTTATTCCATACCCTACAATACAATCTCTGTAGTTTAAACTTTACATATGGGGCCCGGGAAATGGTTCAGCTTATAAAGTGCTTGCTGCACAAGCATGAGAGCTTGAATTTGATCGCCAGCACCCATGTGAAAAGGCTAGGTTCAGTGGCTCACATCTGGGTAAATAGACACAGCAGGCTATCTGGAGCTGGCCAGTCAGACAAACTAATCAGCAGGCTCCAGGTTTAATTGAGAGACCTGGTTCTCCAAAATAAGGTGGATGGGGATGGAGAGGTGGCTCAGCAGTTAAGAGCACTTCTTGTTCTTATAGGGGAACAGCATTGGATTCCAGCATTCACATTGCAGCTAACAACTATCCAGTTCCAGAGAATCTGATGCCCGCTTCTGGCCTCTGTGGACATCGCACTTACGTGTTGCACTTACATGTAGAAAACACACATATGCATACAATACAAATAGAGATGGCTCAGTGGTTAAGAGCACTGACTGCTCTTACAGAGGACCAGGGTTACCTCCATGGCACTACACAACACGGGTGCACTCACATACATGCAGGCAATACACTTGTACACATAAAATAATAATAAAGAAAATATTTTAGAAAAATAAATAAATAAAAAATAAGGCGGAGAGCCCAGAGGAAGACATGTGACATTAATCTGTAGCTTCCATGTGTACCCACACATATATGTGTGCCTGCATGCACACAAGCACACATACACACACACACACACACACACGCGTGCACACGCACCCACACACAGAGACTTTACTTCTTTATGAAGAAATTGACATTCATTCCAAGAGTAAAAATTCCTCCTTGAGTTAGAAAAAGAGAGCCGGGCGTGGCGGCGCATGCCTATAGTCCCAGCACTTGGGAGGCAGAGGCAGGCGGACCTCTGTGAGTTCAAGGCCAGCCTGGTCTACATAGTGAGTTCCAGGACAGCTAGGGCTACAGGGAAACCCTGCTTCAAAAAGACAAGAGAGAGAGAGAGAGAACACATGACAGAGGAGAGAGAGAGAGAGAGAGAGAGAAAGAAAAGGGTTTTCCATCCCAAATTGAAAACTATACACATAATTCCATATAAATGTTTTCCATTTATATGGCAAGGTCACAGTCACATTTTCAGCACACCTAGATGGCTGTACTTTGATGACGAACACTGCCAGTGTTTTAGATGCTAGGCAGTTTTTAGATGCTTTGTACCTACTATTTTCTTAGTAAGATAACTGTGAAACATGGATTGTCCCTTCATAGGTGAGAAAAACAAACTCCAGGATGTTAGCTGGCAGGTCTAAACATACAGGTTTAATGAGCATGAAAGTGGGAACTGAAAACTAGGCCAGGAGGACGCCAATGCTTAGCTCTTAATCAGGACAATAAAACTATCAAAGATAAACTTATGTCCATTGAAGGAGTACTTGCAGTTAAAGCATACACTTCTTTTTAAGTGTCATGGGTTGCCAGTTCTCCCTGGCCTCCCACCAACCCCTCCAATCAATTAAACATAATGAAGATTTATAGCATCCAAATGAAATTATTTCTCATTTTAATACTCTCTGAAGTACCTTTCCAGCTTTGAGAACTGATGACAAACTATTTCAAAAGAGAAGTCTCCTTCCTGAAATGTAGACGATGTTTTTCAGATGCTGAAATAATCCACTCCATTAATTCTGTGCTAGTCCTTTTAAACTCTCAATGAAAGCACCTGCCGAGGCCGGTTCCTTCACCCAGAAGATGGCCTTCCTCATTTCTGATGTTAACTTTATTGCAATAATTAAAAGTTATTAGTGACGTAACTACGTGTTTTGAAATAGCACTTATGGATCTCTCTAGAATGAAAAGATTTAGTGCTTTTCCATTCTTTAAAGAAGGCAGGAATGGCCAAATTGGTTATCACAACTGTAACTGGTGAACTGCCTTCCAAACGAATACCAGAATGATTCGTTTATGCAAGAATATTTTAATCTTTGGGGCAGAAAAAATACACAGATGTAAATACTTTATTTGGAGGGAGGGGGATGATCTGGAGGTGGAGCACATTAGCAGGAAGGGAGGGTCTAATTAATGAAGGGTGAGTTCCCAGACTCCCACAACCTTCATGTTTTGGGAGGACTAGGCTTTTGCATAGACAGCTCCTGGGGTACTCACAGGAGCTTGCATTCCTCAGGTATATTAAGGCAGGAAGGAAAGCTCTAGAACCCCTGCTGCAAAGGTGATATTAGGCAGCACCCCTACCAGGAAGAGACAGGAATGCAGTGGGTAGGACACACCAGGTATAATCAGCAGACCTCCAGCAATGCTGTACTGCCTCCATGGTAGGGTATGGGCAGCGTGGGCATGACTTTTACCTAACCTTGTAACCAAAGTTAACCTTATGTTTTCAGATAATTTAACTGTCTCAGGTCCCTACAGATAACCCATTTGTGTTGCAAAAGATAGGTGGGATTAGATTGATAACATCTGTTTGTGTTCTAGGTCTGTGTGCTGTTCTAGGTCAGCAGGCGTCAGAAAGGGCAAATTCTCTGATGAGACAAATTCTGCTCTTTCTTCCTCTCTTCATGCTGGATGAGTAGAGTCAATAAAGAGAGAACCAGGCCTTTGTTCAAGAGCACAGATCCAGGAAAAATCTGAAAGATCAAATTCTCAGAACAGTTTGGGCCCCACTCTTGGTTTAAATGGATGTCAAGTTAGACTTTTTATGTTCAGGCATCACACCATTGCAGGGTAGGACCTAGAGAACACACAGTGACAGAGGATGGAAGGTGCTTACCATCAAGTCTGATCTATTAGGAGTGGGAAGGATTTTACTGCACATGTTTTTGACTGAAATTTATTTAATACTAATATAAGCACTGCAACTTGGGTCATGCTTCCTTTAATAGGTTAGCAAATGACCTTTAGAACAGTCAAGGACTATGATTGGAGCCGAGGGGTTAGTATATGAGAGGCCTGACTTCAGGGTTTCTACATTTCTTCTTGATCTGCTACCACACTGTCCTTGGAAAACCACTGGGGTAACCTAAGAAATGGGGAAGGGGACCTGGGCTTCCTGCTTGCATTAGTTTCTCTTATGCTGCTGTGATAAACACCAGGGCCAAGGTCACTTACACAAGGAAGAGTTTATTTGGCTTATGGTTCCAGAGGGAAAGTCCATAATGGCAGGGGAGACCTGGCAGCAGGAGGCAGCTGGAGCAGACAGCTGAGGGCCCACAGCTTCCAGCAGTCACAGGAAGCAGAGAGCGACAGACTGGAAATCCAGCAAGCCTTAAGAACTCTTAAAGCCCACCCCAGTGATGTGCTTTCCCCATCATGGCCACACCTTCCCAAGGTTCCATGACCCTCCCCACACAGCGCCATGAATACTTGGAGCCTATGGGGGACATTCTCATTCAAACCACCACACTGCTTTATTCATTCACTCTTCCAGGACAACAGGCTTGTTTCTGAGCATTTGGGACACATACATCATACATGGGTGAGCAACACAAAGCCCTGAGTATCCAAAAGGGAGGAGATAGCCAAGGCCATGAACAACGGTAACTATATCATCAATGAATTAGATGACAGATGCAAAGGGAAAAAGAGAAAGGGTTTATAAAAGGATCATGAATGTGAGAGGATTTCTGGTTCGTCTCCCCAACAAACCTTCATTTTCATTTACTTATTTTGTGCACATGTAAGTACCCACGGGCCAGATGCCTGTGTGAAGGTCAGAGGACAATATGCAGGCGTGGGTGCTCTCCTTCCACCGTGTGGGTACTGGGACTCGAACTCAGGTTGTCAGACCTGGCAGCGAGGGCTCTCATACACTATTTGTATCGAGTTCTTCTTTTTCTTTTTCATTGGCAGGCAATGGGGGAATGGGTGAAATATAAAGGAGACTTGGTTCTCTTGGTCAGGAAGTCCAGTATGCTCATGTGTGACTTCATGTGAGGCAGAACAAGACCCGGGCTGTGTGAGAGGAAGGAGAGATCAAGAGTGGAGGCGGGACTTCAGCAGAGATGAAGAAAGTGTCAAAGGGAGAACAGAACAGCTGTGCCGAGTGAGTTGGGCTTGGATGGGAGTGAGGCAACAGCGGGGGGCCTCTGAGGAGCAAGGGAACGGCCAACAGCCCGCTTCAGGAATGTGAGTATGTTGGTACTATAAAAGATGGGTCTGAGAAGGGAGAACACCTGGGGAAACGTAAGAGGTAGGGCATATGGTCATTCAGGGATAAAAGAAAAATAAAGCCATTTTCTGTAAGTGGATTGTTATATCATAAAATTGTTTTAATTTTATTCCACAGTGAGCTCTAAAGAGGCCCCCAAGAAGTGACTGCAGTCAAGTTAATCAAAGTGAAAACGTAATGTTCAATCCTACAGCTTGTTGGTATAGTACACACTAGTGAGAGGCTCAGAATGACTTTCAGGCCATAAAGTAGGAAGACAGCAGCGCCTGTTTTTCAGTTTATGTCTCTTTTCATTGTTTTTAACAACTGATCTGTGTGCCTGCTTTAGGCAGAATAAGTTTCACAAAAGATGTCTAGAAATAAAACATTGACTTAAAATATCATAGGGTAGGCCAGTAATGAAGATTAATGAATTAAATGAATTCACAGACTGAACAACTTTTTGTGATATAATTCTCCTGATGCTTAATTGCTATGTATACAGCACTCAAACTTTGTTCAATGGTGCAGTAACAAGGAGCCCAGAAGGACTGTGTGTTACACTGCAGGATGTGCCAGCGTCATCCTGAACGTCCTTACATCTAACCTGCTTGCTCTGCCTTGTTCCCCTCAACGCTGAATCTTACATTGCTGGTAAATTTTTTTAAGCATTGGGATAATATCACAGTAAGTCTGCTTTAAAACAAGGTTTCATTTCAAATTCCAAAAGAAAGATTTATGAGCTAGACATGCAGAAACGAGTACCTCTCCTCTCCGCCCTTGGGTTTCTGGGGCAAAGGCTCC